TTTTGTATTTTCTGTATTTCAGTTGAGTTACGAAACTCTGGTGATTCAGATGGTAAGATGCTGCATTTAAAAAAAAATGTTTTCTAGAATGTTTGTTTTTACAGTTATTGAAATGATATTTCCATTACATCTATAAGAATCTTAACATACACGTTGTTATTCTTTTTATTAATGCATCACTGCATATTCCTATTTTTGCAGTGAAAGAGACAGGTGGACAACCCTCCATTGCTGGTCCATTGGATTGTAAGTTATTTGCTGTTGTCTGACTGTGCAGTGCTACAGAAAAGCTGTTTTTAAAGCAACCTTTGATTCAAGATTCAAAGATGTATTGTCATCACTTAAACACAACTATGGTGTTGTTAAGGATGAAAAACTTAGATCGCAGGTTCCTCAACAGTGCAATTACTACACATAAAAACATATATATATGGAAAAACAACAACAAAAATGTAAATTCTGCAAGCTTAGGTGTTGAATAGTTTTATGGACTCTGGGATGAAACTGTCTCTGAGTCTGGTGGTTTTTGTCCTGTTGCATGCCGCCTGCCATTTGGCAGCAGCAGACAGAAGAGTTTGTTGCTGGGGTGATGGGGGTCTTTGATAATCCTGTGGGCTTTCTTCCTGAGCCGCTGAGAGTAGAGGTCCTCCATGGATGGCTGCTCCGTCCTGGTGGAAACGGTGAAACTGCCATACCTGGAAATGAAGCAGTGCGTCAGGATCCTCTCTATGGTGCACCTTTAGAAGGTCACGATCCTCTCTATGGTGCACCTTTAGAAGGTCACGATCCTCTCTATGGTGCACCTTTAGAAGTTCCAGAGTATCCTAGAGTCTCCTTGAACGTCCCCAGCCAATGGAGGAAGAAGAGCCGCTGTCGAGCTGTTTTGGTGATGGTGTTAGTGTGATGAGTCCATGTCAGGTCCTCAGTGATGTTGAGATGGAGGTTGTTATCCTGGCACCAAGATATCAGGGTTTCGACCTCCTCTCTGTACGACGCCTCGTCGCCGTCGGTGATCAGGCCGATGGCGGTCGTGTTGTCAGTAAACTTCACGATGGTGTTGGAGCTGTGTATGGCCATGCAGTCGTTTGTGAACAGGGAGTAGAGGAGGGGGCTGAGCACACAGTCCTGAGGGGCTCCGGTGTTGAGGATCAGGGTGGAGGATGTGATGTTTCCCACCTGCACTGCCTGGGGTCTGCCCGTCAGGAAGTTCAGTATCCAGTCACAGAGGGGCGCGGTTGAGCCTGAGATCCCTGAGCTTGATGACCAGCTTGGAGGGCACGATGGTTTTGAAAGATGAACTGTAGTCAGTGAACAGCATTCTCACATACGTGTTCCTCTGGTCCAGGTGTGAGAGGGCAGTGTGGATTACATTATATTACATGTTACTTGTTAGACGCTTTTATCCAAAGCGACTTACATACTCAATACTGTGGACAATCCCCACAGGAGCAATTTGGGGTGAAGTGTCTTGCCCAGGGACACAACGACATGCTGACTGCAATGGGACTCGAACTTGCTATCCCCTGATTCGAAGTCCAGCACACTTGCCACTGACCCACAGCCTCCCATATAATATAACAGCAGCATTAAGAAGGAGAATGAAGGAAGGGTCTCTCTCAAAATGCAGCAAATGCATTGTCATGTGTATTTCATTTCCTCAGAGAGCGACTTGCCCTCCGGGCTTTAGACAAAGACTGGCTTCAATAAATCAAATGTTTAACCAGGGAAATGAAATAATGTTTTCTCGAGCAATGCAGTTGCAAGGTGTGTACCTTGTTGCCTTTATTTTCCATCTCCTACATTCCATGAGTTAAGCTGTTGTTTGGATTTGTATTATTCATATTCAGACATTTGTCTTTGGCCTCTTACAAGAACAGCAAAATGATATGCAAAAACATGCTGATATGCAGATTAAGACAATAAAATACAGGAATAATTCAACACCCTGCAATATCGAAGTCTATACTTTGTTGAATGTCCCCTTAGGATGCATTTGAATTTGGCCATTAGAAATGTTGTTATTGAAGCCTATTGGCTCACCAACCCCCAAATAATGTTCAATTTAATGAAATTAGGAATGTTCTCTTTATTATTTGTGTTGCTTAGCGTTGTCAGGTAGTTACTGTTACAGATTAACAGGGCATCACAAAGGGATAGATCAATGTAGATTGATAATATGCTTGCAAGTCGTATATCTAAATATAAAAAAATGTGTGTTGTCCACCCTGTTTTTACAGCAGTCAGAAATGGCTTCATTGCAGAAGATGCACAAACCATCGAGGACCAGATACAGTTGCCTGTGCAGACTGCCTTACCGGACAATTTTCAACCAGGAGCCGATGATGAAGCTGATGTTGTGTTGGTAGCCCTGGAGGCCCATGAGGATCTTAGGTCTGGGGAGGACCTCCTGTCTGCTCCTGAGCCACAGCTAGAATCTATCAGCCCTTCAGAGCCAGTTCCAGAAACTGCTGCTCCAACTGAAGCCTACACTGAGCCTGCGGCTGCTGTAGAGGTGTTGGAGGCACTACCCCATTTAGAGAAAGCCGTCCCTGTAGAAACTTTACTGTCTGAGGCCACTCCTGTGGTCGAAGCCCTGGTTGAGGAGGCAACTGCTGATCTAGCTGTGCAGGCAGAGGCCCCTGCTGATGTAGCTGTGCAGGCAGAGGACGCTGCTGATGTAGCTGTGCAGGCAGAGGACCCTGCTGTTGTAGCTGTGCAGACAGAGGCCCCTGTTGTTGTAGAAGAGGCAGCAGCTCTAGCTGTTGAGGCCCCTGCTGTAGTGGCTGCTCATGTAGAGGGAGAGGCTACAACTGACAATTATGCATCTGCTGCTACCTCAACAGAAAAATGTGTATACCCAGAACCATTTGAATCTGCTGCCCCAGCACCAGCTGTAGCTGCAGCTGCAGTCCTAGCACCAGCCACAGCACCAAATGCACCAACAACTGAAGACCCAGAACCAGCTGCAGGACCATCTGAAGCCCCAGCACCAGCTGTAGCTACAGTCCCAGCACCAGCACCAACTGAAGCCCCAGAACCAGCTGCACCAACAACTAAAGCCCCAGAACCAGCTGCACCAACAACTGAAGCCCCAGCACCAGCTGTAGCTGCAGTCCCAGCACCAGCCCCAGCCCCAAATGAAGCCCCAGAACCAGCTGCACCAACAACTGAAGTCCCAGAACCAGCTGCAGGACTATCTGAAGACCCAGCACCAGCTGTAGCTGCAGTCCCAGCACCAGCCCCAACTGAAGCCCCAGAACCAGCTGTAGGACCATCTGAAGCCCCAGCACCAGCTGTAGCGGCAGTCCCAGCACCAGCACCAACTGAAGCCACAGAACCAGCTGCACCAACACCTGAAGCCCCAGAACCAGCTGAAGCACCATCTGAAGCCCCAGCACCAGCTGTAGCTGCAGTCCCAGCACCAGCCCCAGCACCAACTGAAGTCCCAGAAACAGCTGCACCAACAAATGAAGCCCCAGAACCAGCTGCAGCACCATCTGAATCCCCAGCTCCAGCTGTAGCTGCAATCCCAGCACCAGCCCCAGCATACACTGAAGCCGCAGCACCTGAAGCAACAGCCGCAGCACCAACTGAAGCCGCAACACCAACCGAAGCAACAGCCACGGCATCAACTGAAGTCGCAGCACCAACTGAAGCCACAGCACCAACTGAAGTCAGAGCCACAGCACCAACTGAAGTTGCAGCACCAACTGAAGTCGCAGCACCAACTGAAGTCGCAGCACCAACTGAAGCAACAGCCACAGCCCCAACTGAAGCAACAGCCACAGCACCAACTGAAGCTAAAGCCCCATCACCAGCAGTAGTAACAGACAAGGCTTCAGAACCAAGTGAAGTATCAGCATCGGACGAGGCAGTACACACTCTTATAGATATAAAGATTGCTGCAGCAACTATTCCACTGTTGCCTCCATTATCACCATTCACTGCAGCTGCTCAAACAAAGGCAGATCCCTCACCTAAAGGTATGAAACTCTAACACAGATCATTGTAAGTAAGTTTACCCTGTTTTCTTTAATAGTCAATTCTAAAAAAAAATTAAATCCTTCATCATTGTTTTTAGTAATCTGTTCCAACAAAAGAGAATTTAACAAAGCAGATTCAGTTTTCTTTATGTGACAATCCTAGTGGGAGATACAGTATATGCCTTTTTTTTTAACACCGTTCTGCATTTCTTGAGGGAGTTTACTGCTCATAGTTAGGGAAAGTTAGGTATTTTTTTGGCCATATCGTGAAATAATTTATTACCAATAGCTTTTTTTACCATATGTCCCTATAGGTGTCTAGTAACATCTCCCAATTTATCCACAGCCAAATCCTCTGGGAATCGCCTTGAGAGCCAATCAAAGTTGGGGTGCCCAGAGGGCCTGGGTAAAAATAGTGAAAACATTTTTTCTACCAAAAGTGACTTTTGAGATGTCTAACTATGGTTTTTTAGGGGTGCTGAATCTATCCCAGCCATTAGTTTTGAGTCAAAATGACTCCTTAACCCTG